CACTCCCCCACCCTAGTCCCCTCCTCCTTCCCTGTCCTTTTTTTTTTTTTTTTTTTACCCAAATCTTGAGCTTTTTCCCCCCAGGATTTATTTTTTTTTTTTTCCCCACAAATAGGGCTGCAAAAGCTCTTAACGTCACCGCCTGCCGGCTTCGCGTGGGGTTTTTTTTTTTTCTATTTGGGTGACATTTTGCGGCAATATCGCCCATAATTTAATTTAATTAATCACTCATTTGGCAGCGGTGAAGGGATTTGGCTCATTCTATTTGATTTTTTTCTGGAATTTTCTGTAGGATTTACATCCTTCCCTTCCCATATCCTTTAACGGAGATAACGGGATGGATTTTCTCCCCGATAAGATCCTAATCAGGATAAACCCTGTGATATCCCAAGGGCTGATTTGCTCCTATTTGCGGCCTTTCGGGGCGAATTCCTTCAGGATTGGGGCATGAGCTCTGTCAGCAACCCATCTCCACCATTCTCCCAGCGCAATTCCGGGTGGAAATCAGAAAAAAAAAAAAAAGGCAAAAGTCGGCGTTGCTCTCCTAAGAGATGGAGCGGAGCCGCTCAAAAAGATAATTTGATTTTTTGGCCTTTAATTTACATCAAAACCGGTGCTAGAAAAAGCCAAACGCCCCCCCCCCTTCACTAAAATCAGCGTCTCCCGACTGCCGTTAAAATTCACCGCGGGGATGGGAGCGCGAAAACCTACCGTTGGCTTGGTTCTCCGAGTAGTTTGACCTCAAGAGCTTTAATTCTGCCATGATTTCCACCTCTGAAATGAAAAAAGTAAAATCACGGCTAGATCACCCCAAAAAAAATCACTGGCGGCGTCTAAATTTGCCCAATTTATGGCTTTTTTGGGGGGGTTGAGTGGGGAATTCCGGAGTGGATTGAATCTGGATTTACACCTTGGAGTGAACGGGGAGTACAGGCAGAAGGAGGCAGCATCCGGATGAGGCACGCTGGGGGTAATTTAGGGATAAAACCCTAAAAATTCACACAGCGAGGGGGAATTAAAACCAAATTGTGATGACGGACGGGCTTTACCTGTGGTGACCTCGTGGACGGACACTTAAAGCACCGCGGGCGCAAGCCAGGGGTTATTTTAGCAGTGAAAATGCATTTTTTGGGGGATATTTTAACCAAACCAGCTGCTTCCCAACCTGGCAGGGACCCTTCCGGGGCCACTTACGCTTCATCATGGTCAGCGTGAAGAGCAGAACCCAGGCAGCGAAGCTCAACGCTACCAGAACGTAGAGGACGGCCACCGACGTCATCCTCCGGCTCTGTCTCCTGCCACCTCTGGGCTCCAGGTCACCTGCAGAGAGCAGAGTGGGAAAATAAAAAAAATCAGGGAGAAATCCCAGCTTTCCGGGTCTGGATCCAACCGAGGCCTCCGTTGCGGGATAGTGGCATTGGACAAGAAGGACTCACCCTTTTGGGAAGGATTTGGAGATGCTGGTTTCCCTGCCAGGGTGTAAACCCCTGTTGGGAAGAAGAAAAGAGGTGCTAGGGGATGGTTTTGGGGTGTTTTAGGGCCAAATCCTGCTCCGTGGAGGTTCTCGACCGCTTCGGCGCTGCGGGGAGAGGAGGTGGGTGCTACCTGTGCCTGCTTTGCTCTTCTGGCCGTGCAGATTTTCGTGGGCCGCCGCTGGCTTGCAGCCACGATCCGATTCCGACAGGGACACGTCGTCGTAATCATCCTCAAAACTGTCCGGGGATGCTAGGCGGGGAGGAAAAAAGGGGTGAAAAATCAGGATTTTAGGCCAACCGGGAATCGTCTTCATTAATAATCAGCTGGATTCTTTGGAAAGCGCAAAACCAAATGTGGTTCCCCTTTCCATTTTGGTAAATCGGCAGCAAATTTTTTATGCCCCTTATGTATCGATTTTATCATTTTGATATATTTGATATATTAACCCCCGGGATCCGTACGGGCTGGGGGATGAGGGGGTGGAGAGCAGCCCTGCCCAGAGGGACCTGGGGGTGCTGGGGGACGAAAAGCTGGCCATGAGCCGGCCACGGGCGCTGGCCGCCCCAAAGGCCCAACCCTCCCCTGGGCTGCAGCCCCAGCAGCGTGGCCAGCGGCCAGGGAGGGGATTGGGCCCCTGGACCTGAGTGCGGCCGCTCAGGGCTTCAAGGGGGCCCCCAGGGAAGACGGGGACAATCTTTTGAGCAGGGCCGGCTGGGACAGGCCACGGGGGGATGGTTTGAAACCAAAGCAGGGCGGGTTTCGCCTGGATGGAAGGCAGAAATCCTTGGCCCTGAGGGTGGGAAAGAGCGGGAGGGGTTGCCCAGGGCGGTGGTGGAGGCCCCATCCCTGGGAACATCCAAGGCCAGGTTGGCCGGGGCTGTGGGCAACCTGCTCTGGTTCAAGGTGGCCCTGCTGCTGCACCCCCTCCTGGGTGGCCTCTGGGGGTCCTTTCCACCCCAAACCATTCTATGATTCTATGATATATAATATCGTTCCGCTCTTTCGGAGCCATCTTCTCCCCTCAGCTGCAAATCCAAGCAATCCCGGTAAAGTTTGAAGCCCTCCGCGTTGGGAGGGGATGGATTTGAGCTCGCAAAGGTGCAAACGCCGGCTCCGAGAGAGAGGACGGAGCGGTAAATTCCCGCCTCAATCCACCCAGCATGGACTTTCAGTTTATTTTGGGGAGCGGAGGGGGGGCGATACGATCTCGTTTGGCAGAAAGAGCCACATTCGGAGAGAAACGCCGCGTAGAGCGCGACACGTTTGACCAACCAAGCTGAAAATAAAGCCCAGTTTGGCCTTGGGGGAGGCACCTCGGGGAGTTCTGCTTTCCACCCGGGCGACAAAAAAGCCTGAAAAGGTGAAAAAATGATGACTTACCTGGTCTGAAGTCACCCATGGGCGTCATTTTCCCAGCGACGGAGTAAATTCCTGCCAAAAACAAAAAGGAAAAGAGCGTTGCAAGTCAAGGGGAGGATCCTCCAAACCACTGCGAGCGCTTCTTCTAACCCCATCGCTGCCGGTGAGGAAGTTGCCACTGCTTTTTTTACAGCCCAGCGTGGAGTTTACGCGTGAAATTGGGGGTCAAACCTGCAGATTTAGGGGTTCTTGAGCGCAGAACGCCACCCGCATGAGACCGAGCACCCCACCAGGCGTTCCGCCCTGCTCCGCGCGACAGCGGCGCTCTGCCGCCGGCCTATTCGGACCCCGCCGCGCTTCGCCAAAACACCCGCCGGCCCCCAAAAAACGCGCGCCAAGGACACGGAGAGGACGGGGTCTCCCCCAATTTTACCTGCTTGCCTCACCAGCCGCTTGGCGGGTGGCGGTGGGGGACCCAACCAGTTGCCGTAGGTCTCCTGTTGGGCCATGCTTTGCCGGAGAAAGAAGCCGCGCAGGCGCCCAGCACGGAGTTAAACCCCTCGGCACGCGTCCCGGCACACCCCTCACCGCCTCCAGCACCCCATTTTGTCCGGCGGTTCAACCCTGAGGTTTCAGTTCCTTCTTCACACCAGCGTAGTGGTGACATCTAAATGGGCGGCGAAACAAGGGGTGCGACTGCGCTCTTCCCTCCGCCAAAAATTTGCTTTTTTTTTTTTCCTCTGGTGGGATTCGGTGAATTTGGGGACGTCAGGTTTGGTTTTGGGGGGAGAAACGGGAGAGCCTGGCGCCAACGGGAATCTGAAGGTAGCTCCCTCGTGGGTTTGGCGGGGTTTTTTTAATGGATTATAAATAAAACTGCCACGGGGGCACCCATGGGTGTTAAAACAGCGCGCCGGTAAAATCCCAAATCTCCCAGCGGAGCCACTGCCCCGCACCAGGAGGGGAATCCGGCGAGCCTTTCGGCAAAACAGGCGTCGCGCTTCAGCACCCACGAGTTGGGCATTTGCATATGCGCCCAGAAAATACGCTCGTGCCTCATTTTCACCAGACTCTCTTCCCTTTTTTGGGCTGGGTTGGGTTTTATTTTTTTTACCTAAACACTGGAAAAAAAAAAAAAA